TCAAAAACCGAAAACCGAAATGAGAAAATATACAGTATAACAAATATATAATAACAAATAAATTGACCTAAATTCATCCAAATAAATAAATAAACTAACAAACTGATCCCGATAAACTAAGCGTTAGAAAAAACAAAGCTAATCAATCCAAATAAATAACTTTAATTATCTTCCCAAACCAAAACAAAACTATTAAATAAGCGATATAAGCAAATTTTTACTACGTTAATAAAAACACCGATTAAAATAAAGATAAAAAAAAAATAAATAAATATATAAGATAAAAAATAAAAATAAATAATAAAAATAAATAAAAACAAGCAAAATAATTTAACCCAAATAAATAAATAAACAAATAAACGACTTCCGGTAAAATAACCGCCAAAATAGACTACCCTCAATGCACCACTGGTCCGCATATATAAAAAGCCGAGAAAAATACCAGCACTTGTGGCCTGACAATTGCATCTAGCATGAAACAGACTGTCGCCTCTAAGTGTTGACTTCTATGTTCACTTATATATATATATATATATATATATATATATATATATATATATATAGAGAGAGAGAGAGAGAGAGAGAGATTGTCTGAGGAGCGCAAAAGCGTGAAAATCAGGGTTACAAACTCATATCCATACAACGAAGTATGTTAGCTCTATCACTGAAATTGAGCGCTTTCCAATAAGTACCACACTTATAATATATAAATCATATATAAATCATATATATATATATATATATATATATATATATATATATATATATATATATATGTTTTCCTATATATGTAATGTGTTTTATATGCATTTTATATTTGACACAAAAAAAAGGTTTGATAAAAAATATTTGAAATTTTATTTGTATATAATATAATATACAATTCGTCATATGCAAAATTGTATCACATCATGAAGGTTCCTTCTCGAATAAACTTACAAAAAGCATCATCAACGTGCAACATTCAATCTGTATGCTATTTTGAGTGAAAGAAAAAAACAAAAAACAGACACACCTCATTTTAATGACACTGGACAAAAAAAAAAAATAAATAATTGAAAATAGGATCGTCTCAATGAATACTCAATTTTACAAAACGTCTCACACCCACCTGTTGACAATACGTGCTTATAATTTCAACTATTCTATCGCTTGACTCTGGGATAGTCTCTCTAGCAATAAACTGTGCTCCATCCAAGTCAATATTAAAATATTCTTCTCTGTAACTCTTGCTTAACCACCATTATATCTCATTTGTAAGACATTTCTATAATAAATCACTTGCGGTATATTTTCAACACAAATCATTTACAATGAATTACTATAGTTGGTGTTTATATATCACACAGTTATTAATCTTATTCTTTCAGTAACGCAATAATAAATTTTTAACTGCCGACAATATGTTTTTTTTCCTCATCTACAATGGATTTCATTTGGTTTGGCTTCGAGAACAAAGATTCTTTGTAGTAAACACCTGAATACCGTTCGCTTTTAATATGGAGTGAATTGCATACAATACCTGGGCAACTCTTTAAGATAGGGGTTCATGTGACATGGCCAAGTCAGGTGTGATTATGGTAATAAGTCCTCCAGGTTGGAGGTTTTATCTTGGAATTTTCCTTTTCTGGCAGGATGCCGCCGACTTTCGGAGTCTGCCATCGCTGCGAACGGGAATCCTGGCAACATACCGATTGGATAATTTGTGTCGGAATTTCTGTTCCATTGAGTGTAATTCCAGACAATATAGTTGACCTGAGCGGATGGAGACTTTGTTCGAGATTTATCAGCATTTTTTGTAAATTTTCATTTCTTGTCTATTCAGTTTACTGTTTCTGGGAGAGAACGCATAAGCTGGCGTAATCAACAGTTTAGAAGAAGTTCAGTACGCTCACATTCTCGGCCACGATGACTGGTGATTTCATGCTAACACAGCCATCGATGGCTTCCGATCAATTCCGTCTGCACAGTTTTCATTCATATGTCTACGATAAAACTGTAATATGTTCAGGTACTTTCCTGTACGCTGGGATGCCTCCTCTTCAGGCTGATAACATCAAGGAGTCAATTCACTAAGTAGATAGGATCAAATAGGATTAGATAGGGCTGCCTATCATCCGATTCACACTCCTCTCCGGCCTTTTGAACAGGAGTAGAGGTCTACCCCTTATTTTTGGTTTAGGGTTGGATTTTCAGTCTCTGGTTTAGGGTTGCGTTTATATATATATATATATATATATAATTTAAGGTCTTTTTCATGCTAACAGAACTACCAAAAAGCGATCAATAGATAACTATAAATCAAGAAAGGTTCAAGTGACTTAACTCGTTGGCCGACTCAAGAGTTTCGCGTGAAAATGCTCATCATACTTTATTAAACATCAGGCCTTGATGACCGTTTCATTGCGAGATAACTTATATTGAATATATATATATATATATATATATATATATATATATATATATATATATATATATATATATATATATATATTAATGAATATACAAAATATCCAACCTCGAGAGCACGACTCTGAGTTTCATGCAAATGTTGCAATGATTGCAGCAACTGAGTACTGTATTTATAACACCTGTGGAAGAAATATATTTATACGTACGTGCAATTTTTTTCGTGCGTGTATGTATATTTTTCTCCAACACAAACATCATCTATCTATCTATCTATCTATATATATATATATATATATATATATATATATATATATATATAAGTGAACATTGAAATCAACACTTAGAGGCGACAGTCTGTTTCATGCTAGACGCAATCGTCAGGTCAGGTTTTATATTTATATTTACACGCTCTATCTCTGATATTGAGCACTTTATCCCATAAATATAGCACACCTTAAGACTATATTTCTTCATATATATATATATATATATATATATATACATATATATATTCAATAATTCAAGAAAAGTGAGTTATCTGATTAGCTATCTCAAGAGTCTCGCATCGAAATTATTATATGTAAGTGTGTGCGTCTCTCTCTTTTTTTTTTGTGTGTGTGTGTATGTGTGTGTGTGTGTTTTGTCTGTGTCTTATATATATATATATATATATATATATATATATATATATATATATATTATATTATTTTTTCATATAGACAAAAACAGTCTATATGAAAAAATTATAATAAATAATTATTGCTCTACTATCGGTATCGAGACCTCTTTTGAATTAATGCTGTGAACGTTAGAATTTATATATTATTTTCGTTCTCATTGCATCGATATATATATATATATATATATATATATATATATATATATATATATATATATATATATATTTTTCATATAGACAAAAAAGATTCTCGCATCGTTTCCGACGTATGGGTGTACAGCCACTCAGTTCCTGAAATCGGACAGCCAGACTACCCGTACATATGTTTGCATTATAGAGGTGGAGACTTGTACAGAACTAAGCATTTTTGGAAGAGTCGAATATAGATGACTGGCGTCACAAGTTCCCGAAACGGTCCCCCTCAGGTTTTGAATTCAGAGTTTTTCTTCTCCTAGACCTAATCTGTCCTGCTTTTTTCCCCATAGTTTTGAGGGTGATGTAAGGGATTCATACCTTCCACAAGGGTATTTGCACGTGAATGAATGTAACCAACTCGATTGCAATTTGAACTAGGCTCTCCGATTCCTCAACCTGAGGTGCTCGCTCTCTCTTTCTCCCTCTTTCTCTGTATATATATATATATATATATATATATATATATATATATATATATATATATATATATATATTAATATATCTGTTGTTTATACGTTATTTTTATAGATACAAAAGTGTTCTCGTTATAATAATTTAACTTCGCAAACCAAACGCTTCCTCTGTAGCTAAATAGTATAGCAAGTCTGGCTATATGACGGTTCCGTGTAGGATACATGTTCGATTCCTATCAGAGGACACATATTTTCTATTAAATACTATGAAATTTCTCGGACATTTAGGTTGGTGAATGTTGTTAAAACTGTTTATAAATAGAGCATTTCCTTAAATATTTGTATATATATATATATATATATATATATATATATATATATATATATATATATATATATATATATATATATAATGTATAACAACCTTTCTTTTAAACAACTTTCGTTAAATATGAAGGACAAGGAAAAGTGTTATTAATTTTTTTATTTAGTTTTTCCAGCGGTCTTGCATTGTTCGGTGGGTGTGAGGGACTACAAAAAATGTTCATATCGACCATTGTCCCAAGTTTTTCGGCCACTTCCTTAGCGCTGAGTGAATGCTGGTAGTAATAAAATAGTACTCGATTTAAATAGTACTCATTTAAAATGACGTTCTATGGTCGCCTTATGAGATTAGCTCGTTAACCATTACATTGCAACGAGCGTTCCAGCCTAGCAAGCAAACACATAAGTCAATTATAGTGGGTTTTTTTTCCTAAGGTGTTATGCAGGTATAGTTGGGATACTTATATGATAAACAAAAGACTATCAAGATCAATAGGTTCTGATTTCGAGTGTCTGTGCTAAACAACAGTCAGCTAACGTTATTGAAAGAGGGAAAGGAGGGAGATGCAAGAAGTGTGCTGGGCAAACTGGACTAAATATAATCCTATCGATAGGTTTTGCATAGTACAATCGTTAGCAACGACAATACCAAATATCGAGGGCCTGTGACGTAGCTTCGTATTTTCTACAGGCGTTAGCAGTTAGTGTTCGAGCACAGGAGACTGAATGTTGATTTTCAAGGATAACATTCCTTTCATGATGGTTCGCATTTGTGCTGTGTCATCGCTACTAACTTTGCTAAATATCTATCATGACAGAGACAACTCATTAAATTTGGAGAAACGAATGGAAACCGAAATATACCAATGTGTGCAATAAGCCGACTTGGTGGTTGATGTAGTTGCGTGCCATTCTGCTGGGGGCACTGGGTTGTATTCGGAGCGAGGTGGCAAAAAATAAAGAAAACAAGATTTCGAATGCAGAATTTCTCTCTCTCTCTCTCTCTCTCTTTCGCTATCTATCTACTTCAGTTGGTTTCGTTATCTATCTATCTATCTATCTATCTACTTCAATTGGTTTATCTATCTATCTATCTATCTATCTATCTATCTATCTACTTCAGTTGGTTTATCTATCTATCTATCAAACTATCTATCTATCTACTTCAATTGGTTTCTTTATCTATCTATCTTATCTCAGATTTTATTATCGATAATCTAATCTTATATGTTAAAATGTCAATGAATGTTTTAGAATATATTTATATGATAAATATAACAATGGTCTTTGTTTATAATATCTGTTGCTATTGTAAATACTTTTTATAACGCGTTTGATTATGTATGATTTTATTATGCAACTCGATTGTTCTTCATATAAAGAAATATGTAAGTTTATTGATATTTATTTTTTAAATTTCATTTATATCAAGATTATCACAACCATTTCCTCAGATCATTGTTAAAAATGGTTTCGTGTGAATAAAGCTTGTAGCTCATGGAGGGAACCATATTTATTCGAACCTTGTTGGCTGGCGCTACATAATCACAAACAAAGATCTGTACTAAATAGCACAATCCGCATCACTTGAGTCTTTTCAACATCAGCAAAACCTAAATGATAGCACATGTAACTCGAAAAGAAAATAATGACATAATCTAGATGTTGACATTCCACACTACTTCAAACAAAAGGCTAGGAAAGTAACCTCCATCAAAACTGGAAAGAGCGATAATAATTGGCTTCAAAAAGCAGTTTTCTTGATAATTGTTTTAATAGAAAGTTTTTATAAGTTTCAATCGTAAATATCAGTGGCTGCTAGGTTAATGAATTCTGTATGTTTCTAAAACTGTTAATATCACCATTAGTATTAACATTACGAGTGGTAAGAAAGGTATAAAGAGACTTAAAATATTATGCTATTAAGTCAGTGATTCTTAACTATCTGTCTAGATCGGTTCCTTTATCTATCTATCTATCTATCTCAGTCCGTTTCTATCTATCTCAACTTGTTCACATCTGCATACCTTTGCATCTATATGTATCAATTTGTTATATATATCTATTACTGTCTGTTTTTTCTATCTATCTATGTTCATCAGTTGATTTCTTTATTTCTGTCTGTCTGTCTGTCTGTCTGTCTGTCTGTATGTATGTATGTATGTATCTATCAATCAACTTGGTTTATCTTTATCTATTCATCTATCTATCTATCTATCTATCTTCATCAGTTGATTTATGTATGTATGTATGTATGTATGTATCTATCTATCTATCTATCTATCTATCTATCTACTTCAGCTGGTTTCTTTCTCTCTCTCTATCTCTCTATCTATCTATCTTCATCAGTTGATTTCTTCATTTATGTCTGTGTGTATGTCTGTAAGTATGCATGTGCCTATCAACTTCAGTTGGTTTATCTATCTATCTTCATCAGTTGATCTATCTATCTATCTATCTATCTATCTATCTATCTATCTATCTATCTATCTATCTATCTTCATCAGTTGATTTCTTTATGTCTGTCTGTCTGTCTGTCTGTATGTATGTATGTATCTATCAACTTCAGTTGGTTTATCTATCTATCTATCTATCTATCTATCTATCTACTTCAATCTTTTCTTATCTATTTCTATCCATCTATCTATCTATCTATCTATCTATCTATCTATCTATCTATCTATATATATATATATATATATATATATATATATATATATATATCTACTTCAGTTGGTTTCTTTATCTATCTATCTGAATAATTGTTTTTATAGAAAGTTTTTTTAAGTTTCAATCAAAAGTGTCGCTGGCTGCTCAGTCAATGAAGTTTTCTGAAACTGTTAATATCGCTATTAGTATTAAGATTACAAGTGGTAAAAGGCATAACTTTAAAAGAGACTCAAAATATTGTCATGCTATTAAGTCCAGTGGGTCTCAACTAGGCGTGGGAAAACTGGACTAAATATAATGCTATCGATAGGTTTCGCATAGCACAATCGACAAGATATGAGCAATGGAAGTGGCTCCAAGAACAAAAAAAGAAAAAAAAGAAAAAGAAAGAAGAGTTTAGAATCGCTATATTAAGTGATAGAAACATAATGTCAGGAATTGCGAAAACGTTGAACGGAATTCACCGAAATGTTTGCAAAAGACACTGAAAATATCGACAAGATATGACCAATAGAAGTGGCTCCAAGAACGTTGCAAAAAAAAAAAAAAAAAAAAATGATGATTAAAGGAGCTGGTCTTTAGGATATTTTCCTGTTTGGTGAGGGTGAGAGAGTACAAAAAAGTTAAACTGTTCTGTCTTCCCATACACCACGGTGGTCAGTCTTAATAAACTTAAAGACTCAATTACATTAATACCATTACGCCACTTCACTTTTATGAAATAACTACATACGTACAGGTTTCCCCCGCCGTACGAAATGGCGTAAATCAAAGAAGTAATTATTGTTAATTAATTAATTAATTAATTAATTTAGGACAATAGATAGAGATTGACATTGCATTTAACATTTTAAAAATTTAAAGTTGACTGGAAAGCATGGAGCCAGAAGAGAGTTCCACAAGGGAGAAGTGCGAGAAAATAAACTGTTAGTATAGAACTAACGGTTACATCTATACATTTTTTTTTTTTTTGCAACGTTCTTGGAGCCACTTCTATTGGTCATATCTTGTCGATATTTTCAGTGTGTTTTGCAAACGGTTCGATGAATTCCGTTCAACGACTTCGAAATTCCTGACATTATGTTTCTATCACTTAATATAGCGATTCTAAACTCTTCTTTCTTTTTCTTTTTTTTCTTTTTTTTTTTTTTTTCTTGGAGCCACTTCCATTGCTCATATCTTGTCGATTGTGCTATGCAAAACCTATCGAAAGCATTATATTTAGTCCAGTTTTCCCAGCACACTTCTTGCATCTCCCCCTTTCCCTCTTTCAATAACGTTAGCTGACTGTTGTCCAGCATAGACACTCGAAATCAGAACCTATTGATCTTGATAGTCTTTTGTTTATCATATAAGTATCCCAACTATACCTGCATAACACCTTAGGAAAAGAAACACTATAATTGACTTATGTGTTTGTTTGCTGGGCTGGAACTCTCGTTGCAATGTAATGGTTAACGAGCTAATCTCATAAGGTGACCATAGAATGTCATTTTAAATCAAGTACTATTTTATTACCACCAGCACTCACTCAGCGCTAAGGAAGTGGCCGGATTAAGCCTGGATTATAAACATTACTTATAGGGAGAATTTAACCGCTTAAAAAAAACAGTCGCTCAAGGCACAGGACCTCACCTGAGAGTAGAACCGTTCATCGCGATAGGTGAAAACTCAGGTCTGTTCGGTGATGACGTAATATAACTAGTTTGGTTTTCAAGGCATTGAATGTGACCAGCCAGTCATAGAAATAATCTACCAATACGTCTTAGATGAACAACAAGTAAAATTATAAAGGGTGTTCCAATAACTTGGACCGATGCTCCTTCATTTTCTGTAATGTTGACTTTTACCCACCTTGAAAAAAAAAAAAAAAAAAAAAAGGTTTCAACGATAATAAATTAATAGAATGACTACAAGCTTCTGTAAATATCCATCTAATAGGAAACTTGTGATCATCATTAAAAGAAATGTATGTGAGAATGAAAAACAGCTTTCAAGTAAAGATCACCAGAAAAAAAAATCTGCTGCAAGTAACGTTGACATTGAAACAGCAAAGAAAAGAATCCATATTTGAAAGATTAATGAATGTTCTAGAATATCAAAAAAACCCATATTAACATATGATATTCAGATATCTGTCTATATTTCTGAGATGAGGTATTATGCACACCATTTACATTATTCGGACTATTATCCTCATGTTTGTCGTCATATTTATTACAACGTTTCGGCCCTTCAGTATCTGTCTATATTTCTGAGATGAGGTATTATGTACACTATTTACATTATTCGGACTATTGTCCTCATCTTTATCGCCATATTTATCACAACGTTTCGGCCCTTCAGTATCTGTCTATATTTCTGAGATGAGGTATTATGCACACTATTTACATTATTCGGACTATTGTGCTCATCTTTGTCGCCATATTTATTACAACGTTTCGGCCCTTCAGTATCTGTCTATATTTCTGAGATAGATACTGAAGGTCCAAAAAGTGTATATAACATTTCCGTCTATCTGAGATGAGGTATTATGCACACTATTTACATTATTCGGACTATTGTCCTCATCTTTGTCGCCATATTTATTACAACGGCTGTTGTACGCCCCGGCCTTCTTCAGGTGATTGGAATTTCGAACTGAACCCTATATTTCGCTCACTGTTCTAGTTCCACGTGCCATGTTTAATGGCTGTCAGTTATCAGTTATCACCTGTTAATTCCCCTCTCCAAGTTCTCTACTGCCTTAACCGGGTATTGAACTCACACTCTTTGGGTCCTGTCACTGGATCTACCCAACGCCTTTATCCACTGTGCCATGTGCCCTTGATGATTATTCAGATATATTCATGTAAAACAATACTCGTTATTCTACACAGCTGATGACTGTCCACTTCGCAAAAAAGTTTTAAAGACAGCAAATTTATGGAATGGCACCAGATTCTCCAAGTATTAATCAAATGGGAGTCGTGTAGCCCATCATTAAAGGAGATATATATGAGAAAATCCAAAGAAGAACTTTAAGAAGTAATAAAATTGTAGTAAATAATGCTAAAAGTTGAAATAACGGAAAAGTTATCAAAATCAATGGACTGATGAAGGTTGCAGAATGTCAAAGAGGCCATAATAATATATAAACTAATGTTTGAGTCTAGTATACGAAAGATTATGTTCATCAAATTCCTGTGGCCTATATTTTTGGGGATTTATGTATAAAGAGGCATTTTCCTATGCTTGCATATTTAAACCTAACAAAAGAAAATTTAACACTTATTTTACATAAGAATGAATATTATCAGCTGAAGTTCACAGGATATGTTGCTCATATAAATAAATCTTGGAAATTTTACTAATATCGATTGGTTAGTACTAATTTTGTTGTGGGAATATTGACTTGGAAAATAAAATCTGGCAATGTATCACCCTATTGCAGTTTTCTCCTCTATGTTAATATCGTTTACTATCTATCTATCTATCTATCTATCTATCTATCTATCTATCTATCTAAGGTTAACCATATCTATCTATCTATCTATCTATCTATCTATCTATCTATCTATCTATCTATCTATAGTACCTGGTTGTCCATTATTATCTATCTATCTATCTATCTATCTATCTATCTATCTATCTATCTATCTATCTAAGGTTGACCATATCATCTATCGTACCTGGTTTGTCCATTATCTATTCATCTATCTATCATATCTATCTATCTATCCATCTATCTATCTATCTATCTATAGTACCTGGTTGTCCATTATCTATCTATCTATCTATCTATCTATCTATCTATCTATCTATCTATCTATCTAAGGTTGACCATATCTATCTATCGTGCCTGGTTGTCCATTATCTATCTATCTATCTATCTATCTATCTATCTATCTATTCATCTATCTATCTAAGGTTGACCATATCTATTGTACCTGTCTAAAGGTTGTCCATTATCTATCTATCTATCTATCTATCTATCTATCTATCTATCTATCTATCTCTTCATATCTATCTCTTCATATCTATCTGTTATCTTCATATGTATCTTTTATTTCTTTTATTTTGTAATACCCATCGATCGTTTGCACTTTCTATGTCTTATATTATCTATCTCAGATGCTGCTCAAGATTAGGTAATTGGTAAGGTAGTCTACGAATACCAAACTTCTTGGCAGGCAAACTACCTTCTACCCCTTCCAAGGCTGGTACATTCTTTTTTTTTTCCTCTAAAATTTCATGATTCTCTATGAAACAATTTTGCCACAAATGTTTACTAATCTAAATAAACAGAAAGATATATCAATTTATCTATATTTATGTGTGGTCAGTCTTTATAGCAGTCGGTGTCTGTCACATCTTGAGATTCGACAGCAGTAATCATACATACCTACTTAAATACAATCATACCTCAGGTTATCTATCTATCTATCTATCTATCTATCTATCTATCTATCTATCTATCTATCTGAGGTTGTTCATTATCTAAGTTTGTTCATACCTATCTATCTATCTTGTGTTAGGCTGTTCATATCTATCTATCTATCTATGTTAGGATGTTCATATCATTCTATTCTATTCTGTTATATTCATATCTATCTATCTATCTATCTATCTTAGGCTGTTCATATCTATCTAGTATATGAGTGTTCATATTCTTTTCGACATACTAGGTATTTTCATTGGGAAGGACAGTTAACAAAAGACAGGAGCAATCCACACACAGTCTGGGCGACCTTTTCAGTAAAAGAAATAAATAAATAAAAATACGTAAATAAATAAATAAATAAATAAAAATGCCTAATAACGACAGTGGTTAACAACCCACCCGATCAAACGCGTCCCACTCTAACTCCACCACTGCCACCTATTACTGTTATTATTATTATTATTATTACCATCCAGCTATCAGTACCACCCTGTTTACTACCACTACTACCATCAGCATCAATACTACTATTACAACTATTACTATTGGTAGCAGTTCGGTTAGTCTGAATGCTGTTACTACTGTAGTGTAGACAGACCCTTCCTCCTGCAAACACCAGCAACACCTCCACTCCCTCCCACTCCTCACTCCCCTTCCTGCACCTGCCCACATCCTTGTCTCTATTACCATTACCAACAGCAACAACACAAGCTAGAA